TTATTCAGCTGTTCATGTGTATCTGTGTGGACTCATGGATATTCATTTTGTTCTTTGAGTTATGATCCTGTATGGCCATTGTGTCACAGTTCAGGATCTAAACAACTTTGGGAAAGTGCTTTGACGGGACTCATGGGTTTTCTCCTTAAAACATGTTATTTACATATACATACACGATACATTCAAGTATGTGCTTTAGGAGGAGTTAAGTATGTTTCCTATTGTACCCAACAACACTCTAGTAACAGTAAACAAATTAGCACCCAAATCTATGTTTCTAAGTATCACTGTCCCTCCAAAAGGCAAGGAAAATTCAAGATGAGCTTGGAGCATCTTGTTGAGAGGAAGGATGGAAAGGGAAGGAGGAAGGATACAAGATCAAGATCAAAAGAGTAAAGGAGCCAAGCTGAAAGAGCTTCAAACAGCCAAAACTAGAAAACTGAACTGTAAAACAACAGCAATACTGCATCATAACTCAAAAGAAAAAAATAAATATCCATGAATCCACACAGATATAAACAGCTGAATAAACTAAATGGAGAAGAAAGGACAACCTGTCAAACAGAATTCTAATGATAAATGTCAAAGAAATTAGGGGAGTAGAAAACCACCATAGGAACACTGCAGTAATAATTGCTGTAGGCAAGATCCACTGATGGGTGCTAAAATTAGTGGGTAAGAGTTTAAGCAAAAACAGAATATTTGCATATCCTTAAAGTATTTGCCCTAAATATTTAGTAATTCAAAGGGAAAAATAGTAAATAGCGGGGAATCCTGGCAGATACCACCTCTGCAGAAGCCTTCTAATAATGCATAATTCCAACCTAAGGTGAAAAAACATCAGATGAGCCCAAGCAGAGGAACACTTTAAAATAACTGGGGGTCTTTCTGGTGGTCCCCTGGTTGAGAATTTGCCTGCCAATACCAGGGACATGGGTTCAATCCCTGGTCCAGGATGAGTCCACATGCTGCAAGGCAACTAAGCTCGTGTGCAGCAAGCACTGAGCCAGTGCGTGGCAAGTACTGAAGCCCGTGCACAACAAGAGAAGCCACGGCCGTGAGCGGCCCCTGCTGCAGAGACCCAGCGGAGCCATAAATAAGGAAGTAACACTTAAAAACAATCAATCCACTTCAAAAACGTCAAGGTCATGAAAGACGGGAAGACTGAGGCGAGAGCCTGAGCCGGGGCACCAAGACATGCCAACCACTGCAGTGCGGACACTGAGAGGGAGCGAGGGCCCGCGGGAAGGGACGGTGAAATCCGAGCAAAGCTGGTGGCGGTCCGCGTGCTGGTCTGCAAGCAAGACTGGCGCCTTCCTCTTGGTCACTCGTCTGTGGTCGTGGATCTGTTCACAAAAGAGAAGCCGTTTTGGTTTTGAAAGGTTATACTTTTCTAAGAATTCATCCATTTCTTCCAAGTTGTCCATTTTATTGTCATACAGTTGCTGACAGTAGTCTTTGATGACTTTATGTGTTCTGTTGTGATTTCTCCATTTTCATTTCTAATTTTGTGGATTCTTCTCCCTTTTTTTCTTGATAAGTCTGGCTAGTGGTTTGTCTATTTTATTTATCTTCTCAAAGAACCAGCTTTTAGTCTTGTTGACTTCTGCTATAGTCTCCTCTGTTTCTTTTTCATTTATTTCTGCCCTAGTTTTTATGATTTCTTTCCTTCTACTAACCCTGGGGTTCTTCATTTCTTCTTTTGCTAGTTGCTTTAGGTGTGAAGTTAGATCACCAGTCCAAGTTCAATGCAGGAGACAGGGCACTCCCAGCCGGTGGGCTGGGACGACCCTGAGGGATGGGATGAGGAGGGAGGCAGGAGGGGCTCAGGAGGGGGACACGTGTACACCCGTGGCTGACTCGTGTCAACGTATGGCAAAAACCACCACAATACTCTAAAGTAATTAGCCTCCAATTAAAATTTTTTTAAAAAGAGAAGCTGGCTGTACAGGAACACTCTCAAGATTTCTGCACCTCTATTATAAATCTAAAATTATCTCAAAATAAAAAGTTTTTAAAAAAGGACAATATTTAGGTTTTTAATTATTAGGTATCAAAATGGTGAATTTGGCCCAAGTGCAACAAACTGGAAAAAGTACTCAACTAGTATCTTACTGCATCCCTGCCAGTGGTGCTGAACCACCTCCCTGAATCTCCTGTTTCTCTGCCAAATGGGCACGACACCCAGTTCCCCTCAAAGGTTACTCACAGATTCAATGACACGGTTGGTCCAAGTTGTACAGAAACAATATGCCTGGGCACAATGCATGCATTACTCTTACATCTTTAAGTCTAAGAGAAAATACTCTACTGGACAATTTCCCAGGACCAAACTTGAGATTAAAATACCAAATGATGGGACTTCCCTGGCAGCCCAGTGGCTAAGACTCTGCACTCCCAGTGCAGAGGGCCCAGGTTCAATCCCTGGTCAGGGAACTAAATCCCATGTGCAACAACTAAGAGCTCGCATGCAGCAACTGAAGACCCCTCACGTTGCAGTGAAGATCCCGTGTGCTGCAACTAAGGCCCAACGCAACCCAATGAAACCAAGAAGAACTATGCCTTTCAAAAAAAGGAGGAAAAAAAATTTAAGTTAGGATTCTGTTATGGAATAGAAAGTACCAGAGAGCAGGACAAGTGGAGTGACTGACTGGAAATCTGGGTCGACTACCATGCCTCTCGGAGACTGTGGGTGACGACAGTCAAACGTGGGAAGACGGGGGAAGCTCTTTTGCCTCAGAGCTCTTGCAGACTAGGTCATGAATCACTAGTAGGGAGAGGGGAGAAAGAACTGATATCCTCTTCTGTGCCTCTTCCCTCCCTCACTGCTACCTAAAATCCAGCAGAGGCAAGGCTGGCATCAGAGGACCTCAAGGAAGATGGAGAGCACGGGGACTGCCGGCAGCGCTGCGGAATCAGGTGCAGACTTAGTAGGTGGCACAGCTGAAACTGGGGAAGGAACTGCTTTTTCCAAAGATCCCACTACTAAAAGCTAATAGGGCCTTCCATTTTTTGAGGAAATCATTAGGTCTTTCAGTCTTATCAGGATCCCAGAATGAATCAAATAGCAGATGCCCAACACCCCATATCACAAAAACTAAGCACAAAACAACTAATCAAATGTTTGATCTTTTTGAGTTAAAAATCATGCCTTTTCTCAAATCTACCTCTCTCAAAGTGAACCTCCTATTAATATCAATGACAAAGTAGAACTTGGCAAATTTTATCTGCAAAGGGTAAGAGTGTAAATATTTTAGGCTCAAGGGCCATTAGGTTGCTTAAGCAGCTACTCAACTCTGGCTCTGCAGGGCAAAAGCATCTGTGGACAATCTGTAAATGAATGGATGTGACTATGTTCCAACAAAACTATTTACAACAGATAGCGGTACGGATTTGGCTCAAGGCTAGAAGTTTGTCAACCCCTAGAGGAAATGCCAGGTAGACACTTGTTATGCCCCAGAAGTTTTCTTCAATGGATGGCATGAATTCATACATGCTACATATTTCTTACTATTTTTCAATTCACAAACAATTCACAATACTGGAGGTGAGCTGTAATCAACAAAACAGACATGACATGATCTTCATCACAGGAGAACTCTTTTTGAGTACATCCTTTAGATACCTACAAGTTTGTTGGTTTTTTTTCTTTTTTTCATGAAACCCTCTGTCAACTTTAATTATAAAAACACAGAATTTCATGCCAGGAGGGCAGTTACAAATCATTTCTTTAGAAGCTTACTTTTTAAGCTTTTCAAGGTATAGACTTTATTATTAATATGGAATCAGAAGATGGTACAAATGGCTTGGGTTTCTAAAACACACAAGAAGATAATATACCAATTAAATTCAAGTAATTTTCCCTACAAAATTTTTGTCATGTATAAAAATACCTTCAAAACTTCCTATAGCTATAACAAGAAAAACAGTCTTGCTGACATAGTAAATTCAGACTCCACCAATGTAAAAAGGTCTCAACCAATTCTCAATTTGTATGAAACAAGGGCAGCGCGCCTCAGTGCTCTTATACATAACCTGAGAGCATAAGCAAAGCCGAAAAATATCCAAGACCCAAATGTCCTGTGACTCACATATCTTCATGCCATTCTGGGGAATCCACTTTATGATCATAAAAAATAAGAGTAAAAGTTAAGAACATTTACAATTTGAAAACAAACAAAACTGGATACCTCCCCCTAACAAAGGAAAAAAGGATACCTCAGGATGCTATCATGTAGAGTAATGACCCAAGAGAATCTCATGATTAAATCACTTGTGCTTAAAGCTCTTACAAAGTTTCCCAAATGAACAGTCTAGTCTCAGGTTTCTCTTAATTCTTAACCACATGTGGTTTTCCATATTTTGAAAATAAGAACTTACCAAGGTTCATGAAAAAGCACTCAGTTTTATATCAAATACAGGTCAAGAAACAGCTATGCAACAGTGAGTTTCAAAGTAGAGTCAATCACACGTGTGTTTATGAATTCTTATAAGACGCACTTGAAAAAAAAAGAAACCCTACAATATCAAGTCTTACAATGACTTGCTGTCAACACCAATGGGACAAAATTCTTACGTAACACTTTTACCCATTACAATGTAGTGCAGAAATAAGACAAAGCTGGAATTAAAATATGATCTCATCAAAATGTACTAAACACAAATACATCTCTAGCTAACAGAAAATGAAATGTGAAGAACTTATTAGTAACATTTTACATCACTGCACAATAAGCTACTTAATAACTATATAGTGGCATATCAATGCTATCATGACAGCAAATGCTCAGTTTGTACTTCTCATCTGATTATACTACTTAAATATTTCCAACTAATTTAAGGGGGAAAAGTAACCACATACATTATGGAGATTATAAATAAGTCTTCTAACTTCCCTATGCATCTAATAACAGCTCAAAAGCATCTATTATACACAGGCAATAAGAATACGAAAAAGAGGGCTTCCTGTCCCAGTTTTAATAAATTGCAGAGACATAACATTTTCTCAAGTTCATTTTATTAACAAAAAGTGCAAACTGTTTTGAACAAAAGCAAACCATGAATCATAGCGTTCGGCAAGACACTACACATGGAAAAGGGAACAATATTCATTAAGTAAAAATAAGCAGATGAAATGCCTCTCAAATGTATATATAACTCATGCTTTTCTAATAGTCTCTTAGTCAGCTTTCAGTGTCCTTTTCAAATGGTATAGCAGCTCAAAAACAAATGCAGGAGCACAATGGTGAAGTCTGGCAATAATTTTGGACTAATTCTGAGTATAAAAGTAAACGTTATAGCACGCTTTCATGTATAACATGTGGGAATCTTTAAATGTATTGACACTGAAATCAATGTCCAGCTAATGAAAACAAAGGAAAAAACAGGGTTTTAAAATACTTGTTGCTCTGTAGTTGTTTGGTAAGAAGCAGAACAAAGTGAAATAATTTTAAATGTTCTTACATGTGTTTATATGACCAAGAACATAACCAATTCACATTAACTTAATTCATTTAAAACCGCATTTGTAAAACTCACACAAAAGATAGCGTATGTGCCATTAATCAGTGTGCCTGCCTGCACTTGAACAAATAAGAAAAGAAAAATTAACCTCAGTCAGTCAACACATTCCAAAGAGGAGATTCAGTCTAGTGTTACTTCAGTTATTCACATAAAGTGTCTTCAGGGCAGAATCTACACATTAGTGATATTTCTCCTCACTAGTCTACAGGCACTAATGAAACTAGAAACTGTAATTAAAACCCAAACTACAAAGGCGGTCATTTCAGCAGAACCGAGTCTCCAGCCCAGACAGGAGAGCGCCAACGACAAGCAGAGACTGGGCGCATGCGCGGCCTCCAAGCCCGTTTCCTGGCAGCTAGCTGCCCGTCTGCTGGAGCAGACAAACTGCCTTTTATGAATACACTAATGTACTAAATTAATTGAGGCTACACTGTTATTTCATTACATTACACAGAATTCTTCCCACATTTAATTTTTTCCTTTGTACTAATGTTTTATACTAGAATCGTGCTACTTTCTAAAGTCTCAATTACTATTTCAAGTAGAGATGGTGAAAAAATCTGATTATCTGACCATTGACAAATTTGAGCACCAACGACAGCGAATTTCAGGGTCAAGGTGGCTTGCAAGTCAGTTCTCTTGATTTGAAAATTACCTTCCGCTGTTTTCATCAGTACTGAAGCTGAGATCTTCAGGGCCTATTTGTTCACCATCAGGAAAACTGGAATGTGTATCTAGGAGAAAATAATAAAAAACAGTTAACAATTTTTAAAGGCCTGTATTTTCTCTTCCATATCTCTAAATGATCTTAGCAAGTGTGTTACTAAGTGATAAAGAAAGATGTGCTGGGTTGTAAACAAATCTCTATTCTTAGAGAATTCTTTATCAGAGTCAACCATAAACAAACACAAACAGAAAATAAAGGAGAAAAAACCAAAATGTGTTAATAGATGCCCACAATTAGAAGACAGAAGGCACTGCCTGCTGTCCTCTGGGGACACCCTGGGAGCAGCTGAAGAACAGAGTAAGGAATGATGATGGTGGACACTCAAAAGATGATTTTGTAAATATAAAATGTATCTCCAAGTCAATTAAATTGAGCATGCAAACATCACTACAAAAACCCACCAACGCTCAAAATAACTTTGCCTCAAATTTGGCTGCTTCTTTTAGAAGCATAGAAAATTACTAAGAGTACCTTAATACTTAAAAATCATCAAACACTTGGCTCTGTATTGAAAAAAGACACTAGCCTATCAGGGAAATAACGTAAAATAAAAATAAAAGATGACAATTAACATTGGCCTGACAATGTTGTCATTCCAGGATCTCTTATAGAGGAATGCTCAGATTAACCATTAAGGTCTCTGGATAAAATACTAACAATGGGCGATGCAAGTTAACTAAATTTATAGTGGTGATCATTTTGCAATGTATCGAACCATTATGTTGTACATCTAAAATAAAACTAGTAACAATGGATTTCTCTCAGTTTTTCCCCTAAGACTTTTTGATTTTTTGGAAGGAAGAGGTAAATCAATGACTCTATAATCTGCACACATTTCTAAACTCAGAAAAGGTTGTCCTTTTTAAAAATATATTTATTTATTTGGCTGCACTGGGTCTTAGTTGCAGCACAGGTCTTCACTGCAGCCTGTGAGATTTCTCACTGCAGCACGCAGGCTTCTCTAGGTGCGACCCATGGGCTTCTCTTTAGTTGTACACAGGCTTAGCTGCCCTGGTGGATGGGGGATCTTAGTGCCCTGACCAGGGATCAAACCTGTGTCCCCTGCATTGGAAAGCGGATTCTTAACCACTGAACCACCAGGGAAGTCCTTGGAAAAGGCTGTCTTTTAAANAAATAAAATAAATAAAAAAAGTTTTTAAGAACATGTCCAGAATACATTCCAAAATTATTTCAGCACGTGAAAAGCCAGGTAGAGATAAGCAACAAATATCAATGCTGAGATGACAGAAATCATGTTGAAATTATCTAACAGAAGCAGATCTAAAAAACACTCATGAACACTTTAGAAACATTTAAAAGACCTGTGTGGTAGGAAACTTCCACCATCCAGGTCACAATTATTATCACAGGAGGGAAAAAAAAAGAACACTCAAATTTTCTACAAAGGGTAGTAAAAATCTCAAAAAGGCATGTTCCAATCAAAATTTACAAACAAGGCAGACAATCTGCCTAAAGTGAGAGTCAGTAGGTATACAGACAGAAGGACAACACCAAAAATTTTTCATAAAATAACAAGAAAGAGACTATGTAATTCTCTTTAATGTGGAAAAGATAAGATTTTTAAAGAATTACTAAGATATTGTTGTTAAAATTAAACTATTAATAGATAAATTTAAGCAAGAGTGAAAGAGGAAATTAATCAGTGTTAAAGAACAATGAAATGAGCATTATAAAAAAGAGGTTAACAAACAGGAGGATAAAAAGGCCAGTGGTCAAGACCCCACACTTCAACCACAGGGAGCGTGGGTTCTGTCCCTGGTCAGAGAACTAAGATCGTGCTCCATGCTACAAGGCAAAAACAAACAAACAAAATTCGAAAGCTTTTAGGCAGACTAAGGTAAAAAAGAGCAAACAAAATCAGCAATATCAAAAATAAAAGGGAACATCACTACAGAATCTACAGACATTAAAAGGGTAATAAGGGAACAGTATAAAAAAATTTTATGTTCATGAAGTCAAGAACACCGATGAAACGGACCAATCCTTTGACAGACACAAACCGCCAAAATTCATTCAGGTAAAAATAGATAAAATAGATAACCTATGAATAGGTATGTTAAGCATTAAAAGAAATGAAACTTGGTAGTTTAAAAAAGCCATCAACAAAGAAAACTGTAGCCCCAGATAGCTTTACTGATAAATTCCTCTTACTCTGTTTTTAAGAAGAGTTTGTATAGTATTATTTCTCCCTTAAACATTTTGAAGATGGCTGGATGTTTCTGAAATCTCCTTTCTCAGCAAAGGAAAAAACCCTCCTGCTCAAGTATGTGTGTGCTCAGTCGTGACCGACTCTTTGAGATCCCAAGAACTACAGCCCAGGAGGCTCCTCAGTCCATGGGATTTCCCAGGCAAGAATGCTGGAGTGGGCTGCCATTTCCTTCTCCAGGGGATCTTCCTGTCCCAGGGATCCAATCCACAGTCTCAAGTCAAGAGCAAGACGGTTTAGAGCCCAAACCAGCTCCCTACGTGAAGCACTACCTCCACCTTGTGGCCCTTCACAGAACTGTTGCCGAGAACTCTAAAACCAGCAAGTGTTCCAGCGGCTTCCCTAGTGGCTCAGAATCTGCCTGCCCTGCGGAGACCCAGGTTCAATCCCTGGGTTGGAAAGATCCCCTGGAGAAGGGAATGGCAACCCACTCCAGTATTCTTCCCTGGAGAATCCCACGGACAGAGGAGCTCGGACGCAACTGAGCAGCCAAGCCACAGCATATGGTGAAACTCCAAGCACAAACCTGACCTCTTGGTACCAGTGTTTCTGAACTCCTGAGACATACTATCCTCCAGGATTCACAAACGAGGAACTGGAATCCTCAGGAATTCCCAAAATCTTAAGTTATTCTTTAAATACTTAAAATATTTTTCAAACTCTTTATTATATATCTTTTAAAATTTTTGGTTAGTTTGTAGTATTTACAAGAACTGTAGCCAACACTAAATATTCAAATACTGGAACATTCTGTGAATATTATTAGCTAATAGTTGAAAACGTAACACTTAAACTCCCAGCAAGGTTTAGAGCATTACATGGAATCACACGTCAAAAATGCCAATATGAGAACACTTTGCTTCCGAAACTTCCTATTTCTTGGAGCACACACACAGGATTCCTGTCTAGCAGTTAGTCCCCAACCTTTTTGGCAGCAGAGACTATTTTCTCACATGCAGGTGGGTGGGGGGTGGGGATATGACTTCCTGCTGTGCGGTCCTATTCCTAACAAGCTGGGGACCCCGGCTGTATAGGGTAAGATGGGAGAGACTCGTTAATACTTACATAGCAGCAGACAGGGCCATGAACACACAATACGGCAGCAGCTATAGCCAGGACCGACTTGGCTGCAACTGCCTCTTTCCAAGGTCTTATTAACTTTTGACTCTAGGTCTTATTCACGGTCTTATTAACTTTTGATTCTAGCTGTCAGCATTTCCAGTTTATGTTTCCAACTTGCCGTAAGCGGATCCTTCCAAAATGGTCATGTCTCTGCGCTGCTGCTGCTGTTCTCTAATCTAACCTCAATCCCACGCAGCGTGTGGGGTCTTAAGTTTCCTGCCTTGGGACTGAACCCACGCCCCCTGCAAGGGAAGCATGGAGTCTTAACCACTGGACCACCAGAAAAGCCCCCATGATTCTGTGTTGACTGCTAAAGATTAACTCTACCAGGAGAATAAGAATAACTTTTTCAGTTTTTTTATTTCTTGACTCATTTTTCTCAGGATTCAGAAGAACATGCATTTCCCAAGAAATGTTGGAAAGGAATTCCTGCATGAAAATACATTTTGGTCTTTTATCAAGTCCTAAGATCTGAAGTTCCCTAGTTCTGTGAATGAGAAAACTAAACTGGTCTCTTGATCTCTAGGTCACAGGTCCCGGGTCCGTACAACCCACTGCCATCAGTGAGAGCAAGTAAACACAACATAAGGTCAAATAAATGGAAGTAGCTGCTGTCAAGCGGCGGCTCACAGCCTACTGCCATGTGCTTTGCCCCATACGTTACAACGAGTACCAACTGCATTAAAGGGTGAAGCGAACTGGTGATACCTCACCAACTGTGAGAAATCTGAATATAGGACTTTTCTTAATCCTACCAGAAGGTGTCAACAAGTTTTCACACACTGGCTATCAATGATAATAATTGTAAGATATCACTAAATGTGTGGATCACAACAAACTGGAAAATTTTTAAAGAAATGGGAATACCAGACCACATTACCTGCCACCTGAGAAATCTGTATGCAGGTCAAGAAGCAACAGTTAGAACCAGACATGGAACAGACTGGTTCCAAATCAGGAAAGGAGTACGTAAAGGCTGTATACTGTCATCCTGCTTATTTAACTTAAATGCAGAGTACATCATGCGAAATTGCGGGCTGGATGAAGCACAAGCTGGAATCAAGATTGCTGGGAATGATATCAATACCTCAGCTATGCAGATGACACCACCTTTATGGCAGAAAGCGAAGAACTAAAGAGCCTCTTGATGAAAGTGAAAGAGGAGAGTGAAAAAGTTGGCTTAAAACTCAACATTCAGAAAACTAAGATCATGGNTCCAAACCAAAATCCTGCATCTTGAAGTAAAATTTGAAATAGGCTATTTCTGAGTCAATCACCTACAATATTTTCTGAGGATTCACTATATGCTCAGTAGTTCCAAGTTTCAAGGGTGCTTCAGCTGCTTGGAAAATACATCAACAACTTGGCAGAGCAAAGCCTTGCTCCACCTGCCCTCCTCCTTTCCAGGAGAACCTCAACATTGTTCAGTTTTCTTCCCTTCTTCGTGTGTCCAGGTAGAATGGATCAGGGAGGGGAACCACAGATGTTTAGACTTGATCAAGTTTCCTTTTCTTTGGCTAGTGACTAATCAGATGAACTCTAAGGAAGGTTCTCCTCGTTGATAAATAGAGACATATAAAATGAAATAATGTTCCACTAAACCCAGAACATTATTCTGATTCTGTATGAAGTCTGGAACTGCAGCAACCACCTTGCCATCCTGAGGGGAGCTAAGTCAACTTGCTTAGAACCGCAGAGCAGAAGAAAGGGGAATGGAGGTGGGGGAAACAGGTTCTTGGTGATATGACTCTCACTGAGAGTGAGAGTCTGAAAGACTCTGCGACCCCGTGGGCTGTAGCCCACCAGGCTCCCCCATCCCCTGGATTTCCCAGGCAAGAATACTGAAGTGAGTTGCCATTCCCTTCTCTAGGAGATCTTCCCGACCCAGGGATCAAACCCAGGTCTCCCACATTGCAGGTAGATTCTTTACCATCTGCACCACCAGGGAAGCTCTGATGACATTAAGCAGCTAAATTTTCCAGCCTTGATACTGTCCAACAAGAGCTAGGTGAGACTTCCTGTTAATACAAGACAGTAAATCTTCCTACTGCTTATACTGTAGGAAGCAAGTTACACTGGGGTTTTGCAAGTTCCATTAGAAACTTTTTAATTGACATACCAAAAGGGATCAGCAATGCTGGAGGATCAGACTTTGTATTACTCTTAAACAAGGTACCAGTAAGGTTTGTAACAGGCATACCACAGCTTTCCCCTGGGACAGGGACAACCCTGACTTAATTGAAAGGGACTGTGCTAATTCAGTAGAACTCAATCACATAGTCTCCAGTTTTAGACAGAACAAGGAAGAAACTGGTCTACCTATGGAATTCTGTAGGGTATCAACTGGGAAGGACAAGATTTTTGGAACACAGGCATTAACCAGGAGATTATACAAGGTTGTCCCATATGATCCCAGTTAGAAAGGAAAAGGCCTGTTGATGACTGTCATGTCTCAGAAATGTCACATTTTATTGACCCTCAGGAACATTTAAGAGACTGCTTTAGTTGTCCCAAATTCCCAGCTAGTAACAAAAAGAATGCCTTATTTAAAGTTTCTTCAAACAGCTTGGCAGTAGGGAGGAGAAAGAGGAGGAGAAAGACACCAATTTACAGTGACCTGGCACAGAAAATGTTCTTTTAGGCATTCTGCTCAAGAATAAAGAGCCCTGTTTTTCCTAAGCACAGATACCAGACTACCTCACTCAACTTTTCACCAAGGCTTATAGGTGTGAAAAGTAAAGGTTTCTTGAAAACTGGCTCCTGCTGCTGATAGAATAATACCCACAGCAGTAAGTAAGAACCGATTCTTCTCTCATAAAGCAAATTCCAAACGGCACAGAGCTCCTTTAGTCTACCTAATCCCTTCCTGCAGTCTCCTTACTGCCGAGCCTGGGATTCCAGTGGTGAATAAACTGTTCAGCAACAAACTGCAGTGGTGGGTTTCCTCGGCACTATTGATCTGCATGTTTCCAGCGACTTTTCTTACTGCGCTCGAGGTGCCCTGCATCACTGCACACTCCTTACCTAAGAAGAAGGTGTTGCTGAGAAACTGCCAGCACCAAACCTCAGGCTCAAGGACCTGAAAGTGCATGTGTTCCCAGTCGCTCAGCTGTGTCTGATTCTTTTTTGACGCCAGACTGTAACCGCCAGGCTCCTCTGTCCATGGAATTTTTTCCAGGCAAGGATACTGGAGTGGGCTGCCATTTCCTCCTCTGAGGGAATGTTCCCGCCCCAGGGGTCAAACCAGAATCCCGCACCTCCCGCACTGCAGGTGGATTCCCTACTTCTGAGTGCACAGGCGACTCTAAATGTGGCCAAGCAAATGACTTGCTCCAGTTTAGGATAAGCTGTTAACAATCACCTTTAAAAAAAGAAATGAAATGAAGCTAATGTCAAAACTTATGGGGTTTTTTAGGGCTGGCTAGCTATTTATATAGAAAAATTGAGAAATGTGAAGTTATGAGATGAAGGCTGAAATTTAAAAGTGCAAGTCATCTCTCACCGAGTTTAATTTAACAGGCTTCTTACCATCTTTCTGTCCCCAGAGTTCCACACCCCATCCCCAGTTTCCAGCACAACCAGAGTAGGAATTTTAAAACATAATTTTATTATCTCACTTCTTGCTTAGATCCCATTCAAAGGACAAAGTCCAGATTCTAGCTAGACACACAGTGTAACTCTCCATGATCTGGCCTCTGCCTCCACTGTGGGCTCACCTTTCACCAGTCTTCACCTGACTCGTACTAATTCATGCTCATCCCTAAGGATGGTCTTTCCAAGGGTGGACTAGACTAGTAGAGAGGTGGCAGTGAAGAGCACTGGCTCTGTGACTAACTACGGTAAGTTACACCTTTAAGGCCTTAGCCTAGTCACCTGTAAGGTCAAGATGATAAAAGTAACCACCATGTAGGTCTGCACTGAGCAGTCTCATCCTAATGAGGGCTTGCAAATATTATCTATTGTTTTTATTATTACATGCCAGTTGTTGTTTAGTCACTAAGTCGTGTCTTGACTCTTTCGACCTCACAGACTGCAGCCCGCCAGGCTCCTGTTTCCATGGATTTCCCAGGCAAGAATACTGGAGTGCGTTGCTATTTCCTTCTCCAGGGGACCTTCCCAATGCAGCAACTGAACCCACATCTCCCGCACTTGCAGGTGGGTTTTTCACCACAGAGCCACGAGGGAAGCCCACATATTAGCTGAGCTCCCTACATACGCTATCGCAGCGCTCATCATTTCATATTTTAATTGGCTATTAACTAGTCTCTCAACACCTGACCAGGGGTATTCAACTGCCCTCTCTGCTCCCCTCCACCAGCATTAACACATACCCAGCACCCCTGAGATGTGGGATGTGTAACTGTAACCCACTCCCAGGTATAACTATAACCCACTCTGGTAAGTGATTCCTAAGGTTCACCCTGGTTCGAGTTTTCACCTCAATCAGTGGTTCTCAGCTGGGGGAGATTCTGCCTCGCAGGGGACATGTGGCAATGCCTGGTGACACTGTCTGGCTACTGTAATTCAGGGGAGGTACTACTGCTACCCAGTGGTTAAAAGCCAAGAAAGCTGCTGAAGAGACTAGAATGCAAATGGCAGGCCCCGAATACAAAGAATCCCCTATTTCAAAATGTCAATGACATCAAGGCAGAGAAACCGTGAACTCAGCAGTAAGTTCAGGAATTACTTTATCACCAGCATCAGAACAATGCCAGACAAATTAGAAGCATTTCACAAATGCTGCATAAACAAGAGCCTATAATTAAAGGATATGCTGTTAACAATTTAAGTCATCACAATTTATAACCACTATGTATAAACACATGGAAACTAGCTAATCCCTACTAGCAAATCACTATAGGTCCTTTCTATAAAGATCAACATAATATATTTTTCCTTTTGTTTTCAAATCAACACTTCACTCTAAAAATCCTTTCTATTTAATCTCTTCTACCGAAATAATGCTGCCTACCACAGGAGCACCAAGATAGAAGACCAAAATGATTAGTGTTCTTTAAAACTGAAAAACCTGAAAATGCTAACACCCACACACTCTCTCACAGGGCAGTCAGAGGTAGATGCTGGCACCTTTTATCATATGCTCTGAGCTACAATTCATCAATCATTGAAATTCAAATGAATGCAGAGGTTGTACATGGCGGTTTCACAGAGAAATGAAAAAAATTTCAATGTCAAATATCATTAATAAAGTTGACATGCTTTTCTGCTCACATACAAAGGACAAGCAAGGGCAACACACACAGCCTTGTTTCAAGCACCATCTGTTAACTCAAAATTACAAAGTCTTCTATGCTTTAAGATAAAGAATAATGAACCTGAAAGAAGTTGTAAATGAATATTAGAAATGTAACTGAGAATGAACTGGCAGAACAGAAGTCAGTTACCATAAAGGAATTTTCAAGTGCTTAAAGTCTGCAATTCTTCTAAAAGAGCAAAGCAACCTACAAACAATTATCAAGACTGACTTAAAAAGACAAAGCATGTTTTTCCCATAAGACACAGAACATATCCAATGTCATCTTTCATATCTAGAAAAACTTCAATGCCTCCTCATGTAGGTAGCATAACACATTTAATGAATGAGCAAATGAAGTATCTGCAGATATTCCCCTCGAAACTGCCCCTTCTAGTAAGATATATCCTTTTACGTAGTCAACTATTTAGCCTTCCCCTGTAATTCATGTCCTAGTGAATCAAACTCAGTGGCACAATGAATGCTATTTTCAGATGAAGCATGTCAAATAGTAGGTAAAGCCTCAGTAACTGTTTTATTAAACCACCTACTCCTCACCACTACCAAAAAGAGATGATTATTCCACTTCCCTCCAGTTACGACTTTCTCATGCCTTACCGTCCTCTGGGGCAACTGAAGCTCCTTCAGGTAGAACAGGTTGTAACTCCCCAGTTTCTGAGTTATTTTCCACATCAGTCATTTGCATTTCTTCCAGATGACTTCCTTTAGCATTAGTCCTCAAAGAGGGAGAAAATGACCTTATATTTTTGTATAACTAGTCAGTGATATGATAATCTAGATTTCCTTCCTTCTGAGCAAACTAATAGCGTATGGAACACCAGAGTTTAATACTAAATTTCAAGTTTTACTTTTAAAAGATTCACTTACAATGAAAGGTTATAAAGTGGTAGCTTGCATCAATGTCAATATCCTGGCTGTGACAAAATGTCAGCATTTTGCAAAATGTTATCATTAGGGGAAACTATGTAAGGTACACAGGCTCTCTCTATCCTTTCTTATAATTGCATGTGAATCTACAATTATCTCAAGAATTCCAATTTAAAAACAGAAATGGAAGTCCTAAATAATACGTCCTTACCAACACAGACATAAGAGAACAGAATTCTGGACCTGGCTAGCGGGGGAGGAGGGAAAGGGTGGGACAATGCAGAGAGGAACATGGAAACGAACATTAACATATATAAGAGAGACAGCCAACGGGAATCTGCTGTATGCCTCAGGGAACTCAAACTGGGGCTCAGTAACAACCTAGATGGACGGGATGGGGAGGGATGTGGGAGGGGTGGTAAAGTGGGAGGGGACATGGGTGAACCTGTGGCTGATTCACATTGATGTTTGGTAGAAACTAACACAATAATGAAACAATGAGCCTTCATTTAAAAACAACTAAAATATGGAGAAGGAAATGGCAACCCACTCCAGTACTCTCGCCTAGAAAATTCCATGGATGGAGGAGCCTGGTGGGCTATAGTCCATGGGGTCGCAAAGAGTCAGACACAACTGAGCTTTTTTCACTCTCACTTGCTAAATACAATGGTGGTTCTGATTATTGCACTTAAAACTGGGATGTTGGACTATATTTTCAGTATTCTGTTAAATAGTAAAGTACTGTGTAGATAAAATGATAAAAAATATCGCTACCAAGAAAAAAAAATAATAACAATAACAACATGTTCTCACCTATATGGAAAGACTTTTAAGGTATACTGAATGAGAAAATAAGGTGTACCATTTTTATTAGAAGAAAACTATATGGTTGCAGTTATTTAAATATGCATGAAAACTGAGAAGACACAGCATATATAAAAAATCAAAAACAGCAGGAATGTGTGTGGGCAGGGGGTTGGAAAACAAAGCAGATGGGAAAACTTAATATTCTTTTTTTAACTTCCATTTTGAACCATTTATTATTAGTATTTAAAATTTTTGCTTATGTTACCTTAAATCAGGCAAGGAAAAAAAGACACAAGATGGAAAACATCACATGAGCCAGGCTGGCAGTATAATTAACCATAAAATGAGGGTTACAGCTATGAGCTTTACACAATTATAAAGGATTTTACAGTCTACAAAAACTATACATTCGTACACATTTAATCTTTATGACTAAAGGCAGATATAAACCTCTGTAACAAAATATAAAAGCTAGTTACAGCTTTCATCTTAAAAGGAACCTGTGTAAAACCAGACTAGGAAGTGGGAAGGACAAGACAATCTCCAGTGATTATCACATGTTCTCCCTGCTTAAACCTGCACTAAAGCAGAAAACAAAGCCACCAGCTGTCCTTTTAGATTTGGTAATTATTCAGATCTAAAAACTCTATGAAACAAAGTAAACTTAAGGGATATTAATTTTTCTCTAAATTTAATTCAAAGTTCTTTTCAAAGTCTCCAAGGTAAAACTATTCCATTGTTTAAAATTAGAAGTGATACTTAATAGCCATAAAATAGATCAGCAGATGGACACTAAAGGCTCATCTGCACATTCACAGACAATACACTCCACATTTACTCTCTTGGGCAGATGGAAGTTTAACTGACATGACTGGGATTTGAGTTCGTGTTTCCTGGGAGAGAAATAAAGGTACTAATGACCATGTATATATACCTTTTCGGGAAATTCCAACTATGTATTTTGAAGACACTTTCATAAAAGAAAAAATGGTAAGATGAAAGCAGAAAAGCAGTGGTAAAATTAAATTGTTAAAAGGTCTCTGTTCCACCCAAATTCATGTAAAGCCACAATAAAGTCCAGCACAAATGTGTGTGAAAAGCATGGGACAGATGGGGAAGAAAGGTGACACAGAACCTCACAATAAAGAGGTCACACAAGGTTATACAACATTATTATCCTAACTTCAGTGAAAAGGAGTTCTAACTTACTCAAACTGAACTTCTGCTACTATCTCATTCAGTTTAAGAAAAAAGGAAGATCTCTGATACTTTAAAAGTTCCTTTTTAATACAATAAATAAATAATCTGCTAAAAAATTAACATAGTAGAAATTTACTTTATTACATTGTAGATTTAAAAGTGCCAACCAAAGCTATTAGCTATTATTCTATTATATAAAACAAAAGAACTTCATTTACCCCAAGGTGACCATTTTTCTTCTTTTTTCAACAACAGGTACACCATTGAAAACTGCAACCAAAACAGCATCTGAATCCAAAGCTTGACACTGCCGATCTTCAGATTTCGGCAGAATGTCACTGATACTGACATGGGTCAAGGCTCGGGGAGAACTGTGCCTGCTCCCAGACTGAGAGCTTCCTGGGGAGACTACAAAAAAGGAAAGGTATATTCAGAAGGCAGGCAAACAAAAAACAGTTCTCTCTCCAGTTTCCACTTACAGTGTGTTAGTCGCTAAATCGTGTGTGACTCTTTGCGACCCCACTGATTATAGCCCACCAGGCTCCTCTGTCCATGAATTCTCCAGGCAAGAGTACTGGAGAGGGTTACCATTTCCTTCTCCAGGGAATCTTACCGACCCAGAGATCGAACCCTGGTGTCCCACACTGCAGTCTTCACTCAGGAGATCTCATTATACATAAATTTTTAAACTGCAGGAAAACTCAAGAAATTCTTAAATGTTTCCCAGTCTTTTTGATGTCAGGTATTTAAAACTCAGGAGTCCAGAATATGAAGTCTGATGGCTGCACTTTCTTACTGATGGGTCTGTTCTGTTATGTGATCAAGGAATTTTCAACCTGAGTTTCAGCATTTTTGGTGCCTTTAAAGCAGCTATACTATAAGATCAGTTTCAACAGACATCTATCTACCAAAGTTACGTTTTGAACTCTCCAAACTTACCTTCAGATAGAGTCTGGCAGTCTCCCTTGGAACGGCTATTTTCCCCAGAGTCTACTGCTCTTCGAAGAGACAGACTACCTGCTATACTGGACCGAGCAGGCTTGGGCGAATGACTCTTCTTATTTGTGGCTGCAAAGACATTTTAAAACATTTCTGATTATGATAAAATGACACAAAACTTACTACCTAGGCAACCAGAGAAAGGTTTTATCTTACCATAAATGGAAGGAATTCCCATTTACTGTGTCCAAAGATAAACAGAACACTCTGGTCCCAATTAGTTTATTTGGGGTTTTATGTCAAAAACATTCCTATTTCATTGCTTGTGTTCTTATAAAAGTAGAAAATTATCAGTGAACTCCAAAAGAAAAATCATATCAGTTTAAATTCCAAACGAACTCCAATCTCAATTCTATTAAACCAAGTACCAAGAACAAAACAATAACGATCAAAGCACTTGGAAACAAACATTATTGGGTTAAAAATAAATGAATGCTGAATTAGAAACAAACCACAATTATAATACTTTAAGATGTCTGTGGCTAAAACAGTAATTAGAGGAAAATGTATAGCCTTAAAATGAATTAAAAGAAAACAACCTGAAACTAAAGGACCTAACATGCATAGACTCAAGAAGATGGAAAAAAAAAAGAAAGCAGAAGAGATGCATTAAAAGGTAATGAACAGGTTCAATAAGGTAGCAGGATATAAGATCAATAACCAACTGACTTTTTATACAGCAGTAAAGAATAATCTGAAAACGAAATTAAGAAAACAATTCCATTAACAACAGCATCAAATAGAATAAAATAGGGAAAATTTTAACAAAGAAATGTAAGACCTGAACGTGGAAAACTATCACACATTGTTGAAAAAAAATAAAGAAATGAGGGAAAATACTGTGTTCATTAACTGGAAGACTCAATACCGCTAACATAGCATTATTCCCAAACTTGATCTACAATACAGATTCAACACAATCCCTATAAAAATTTCAGCTGTCTTTTCGTGGTTGATGTTGCAGATATTGACAAGCTGATCCTAAAACTCAGAGAAAAATGAAAAAGATCCAGAATACGTCAAAGCAATCTTGAATTGAGGACTCACTTATACAATTTCACAACTCTGCTGTGAAACTACAGTATTCAAGTATTCTGAGCCACCACGGAAGCCCATTTATACCAGGAAGTTGGCTTCCCCGGTGGCTCAGATGATAAAGAATCTGCCTGCAGTGTGGGAGACCTGGGTTCAATCCCTGGGTGAGGAAGATCCCCTGGAGAAGGAAATGGCAACCCACTCCAGTATTCTTGCCTGGAGAATCCCATGGACAGAGGAGTCTGGTGGGCTGCAGTCCATCGTACTGCAAGAGTCAGACACGACTTAGCAACTAAACCATCACCACAACCTCTAACCTAATTATAGGAATGAGATCATGAGGCAATTTAATCCAACTTCTGACTTTTCCTCTCCTGAATGCATACCTTGTCTTGCTGATTCTTTTCTTAGATAAAAAGAAGAACAAAGAATTAAGCAGTTGAACAAACTGACTAGCTATTTCCAATCCCTAGAGGAGGGCAAGGGCAGTATTCCTGCCTGGAGAATCCCCATGGACAGAGGAGCCTGGCGGACTACAGTCCATGGGGTAGCAGAGAGTCGACTGAGTGACTAAAGCAAGCTACTTTCAATGGCGTCCCCAAGCAATCTTCGATCACTTGGGAAAGATATTAATAAATCTGAAGAGAGAGGCAGCCAATCTGCATGCTGTGAGAATGATGCAGAACCCAACCTCCTGCCTCAATATACTGAGATTCTCCTCCCAACACCCATATTTTTCCCTTTAAAAAAACTGTCACAGCTGAGCACACGCCTTGGACTTGGTCTTTGGACACAAGTTCACCAACTCCTCAAACTGCTGGTTTTTCTGGTTAAAGCCATATTTTCTTTCTACTGACACTTGCCCCTCAAATTATNCCCTGATGCTGGGAAAGATTGGAGGCAGGAGGAGAAGGGGATGAGAGATGATGAGATGGTTGGATGGCATCACCAACTCGATGGATATGAGTTTGAGCAAGCTTCGGGAGATGGTGAAGGACAGGGAAGCCTGGTGTTCTACAGTCCATGGGGTCACAAAGACTCAGACATGACTGAGTGACTGAACAACAAGAAGATGATGAAATAAATCTAAGAACTGGGTCTCTGAAAAGATGAATAAAATGGACAAGCTTCTAGCAAGTCAAGTCAAGGGAAAAAAAAAGAAAACACAAATAAGCAATGATATAACAAAGTTAACATCCCATATGCAGAAGGTGTTTTTAAAATTTAAAGGAACAGAGTGACTTTATCCCAGTACATTTATCTAATAAAATGAATTTGCTAGGGAAATTAATTATGAAAATTGATATAAGAAGCAGAAGAAATATGAGGACACCAGTAAACAAACAGAAATGAAAAAGGCTGTTAAAAGTTTTATTCCCAAAAGAATTACTCAATAGTTTTATAGATGAATTTCATTACATTTTTAACAAACAGATGTCATGTTAAAATAATTTCTCAGCAAAGAAAAGAACAAAGGCTTCTGAATCTTTTCTATGAGATTGGCATAAAATCACAACTAAAATATGTTAATGACAGAAAAATGAAACTATAGCTCAATTTTACTTATTTACTACATATTCAAGAATCCTAAGAATTAGGTGGGACTTCCTGGTGGTCCAGTGGTTAAGATTCCCCATTTCCACTGCAGGGAGCACAGGTTTGATCCCTGGTTGAAGAAGAACTAAGATCCCACATGTGCAAAGAACAAGGGGTAACTTTATAATCAGTCCTCCTATCAGTAATTCAGCATCCAAAGACTCAACCAACTGTGGATTTACTGAAAACAATCTGTGGATAGGATCATATAGTGCAAACCCTTGTTGCTCAGAGTCAACCATATACTAAAAAATTACAAACCACAACCAAGTAGAAAGACTCATTCTAGAATTCCAGGAATGGTCAGTATTAAATAACGTAATTTTCTGTGTTCACAAAGTAAAAGGGCAAAATATGATTATTTTGACAGCTGACAAACAAGCATTTTATATCATTCTATACAACTTCTTGACTTAGAAAAACCCTTAGTAGGTAGTGTTGACTGAAAACAATGTACAACCTTAAAAGTTGAGAATTCTGTTTTATTTGGCAGAGTTTCTGAGGACTTCTGAGGGATTACTCTGAAGAGTCAAGGGGGGAAAAATATAAGGGTTTTTGCATAACTGGAACATCAAAAGATGACAGTTAATTAAAAAACACAAGATATCACAAGTTAATGAATTCAGCACTTTTCGACACATGGGAAGATGCAAGAGTCTGAGCTCACTGAAATCATTCCTTTAATATGCACTTCAGAAATCTAAGGGCTTCCTAGTAGCTCAGTTGGTAAAGAATCCACCTGCAATGCAGGAGACCCTGGTTCGATTCCTGCGTCAGGAAGATCCACTGGAGAAGGGATACACTACCCACTCCAGTATTCTGGCCTGGAGGATTCCATGGACTGAATAGTTCATGGGGTTGCAAAGAGTCGGACACAGCTGAGCAACTTTCACTTTCACTTCACTCAGCAATCTAGGGCCAGTATCCTGCTCTTTTTCATCCACAGTTCCTTTAAGACTCTCCCATTCTGAGTTCCCTCAGGAAGGTGTAGTGGCTTGAAGGCTTAGAATAGTATCTGGAATAATAAACACTTTGTAAATGTTAGCCATTATTGCAGTTAGGAAAAGAGTATCTTTTTCAACTCTATAAAAACTACCTTTTGAAACATATAGCAAAATTTGAACTTAATGACATAAAAACTAAGGAATTCCTAAATAGAGTTTAAAACATTACAAAAATTCTCTAATTGCTATAAGTTAACATCATTCCAAGGTCCCAGCCTAAACAATACACTATGAAAAGTAAATAAGCAGGAAAGGAGTGGATAAGCTATGACTTTTGCTGATGATAGGACTATATACTTAGGAAATTCAATATAATTGACTAAAAAACTTAGACTTAAAAAAAAACTAAGTGGGCTAAACACAAAATAAACATATTAAAACCAACAGTCTTCCTATATACATCAATAACCAACAAAGAAAATATTATAGAAGGAAAAAGAGATCCTATCACAATAGAAACCTAAATTATAATATATCTAGAAATTAACAAGACATATACAGAACTTATATGAAGAAAACTAAAACTCTGAAGAAATATGTCTATAACAGAAAATTACTGTTAGTCGCTCAGTTGTGTCCAACTCTGTTACCCCCTGGACTGTAACCCACCAGGTTCCTCTGAAAAATGGAATTCTCCAGGGAAGAACACTGGAGTGGGCAGCCATTCCTCTCTCCAGGGGATCTTCCCGACCCAGGGATCGAACCAGGGTCTCCTGTACTGCAGGTGGATGCTTTACCATCTGAGCCACCAGGAATGACTTGAATAAATGGAAACACCACATTACTCAATTTGAATGCTTTAATACCTAAAAGATGTCAATTCCTCAAATTAAATGTTAATTAATGCATTAAATGTAACATAATTCCAGTCAAAATGTTTTTCTGGAAAAGTAAACATGTAAGAACCATCAAAGGCATTTTGAAAACAAATGAAGGCAAACCTATCACAGTATGATAAACTATAAAACTATAATGGTTAACAAAAAGGAATGTGGGTCTGGTAGACAATGGAACAAACATTTAGCTTAACAATACCAAACTGCTGTTTTGTATGTTTTAAAAAAGTGTCCCATTGGTAATTTCACCTAGTCCCAACTGTATGAATGAATTTAAAACCAGAACTATGTAAGTATGAGAATTTGGTCTATAATATAAAAAATGAATTTCATTTTGTTGAACAGAAGAGACTCTTCAAAAAACATGTTTCATTTTCGTGGGTGGGTTGAGCATGGTGATCACTGAATTTACACACTGTCATGGAAAACAAGTTACATATGAAATAATGAACTAAATGTAAAAAAGTTAAAAGATAAAAACAGAACCAAGGAAGTTAAGTGTTATTTTAGAGCTGAAAAGACCTTCCAAATAAAAACATTAAACCCTCAAAGAATGAATACTATTAATAGATGTTGAAAATAAAAAATTTAAAACTTACTGTTTAGCAGAAAACAAAAACAACTGACAACAAAGGAAGTATCCGAAGAAATATATAACAAAGAGTTTTTTTCAAAAGTCCATCCAAAAAGCTTTACTTCTTTTGGTTTAAAATTGTCATTTCCTTGACAACTAGATAAGGTTGAGTATCTTTTAATACATTTATTGTCCTGTGGTATTTCTTCTTACCTTAATAACTTAATCATAACCTTTACTCATTTTTCTACTAAATTATCACCTCTATTAAAAGAATTCTATGTATTTGGCAATTACCCCATCCTATTCATCTCTACTATATTACTGCCACCAGTATCCAGCATTAATATATCTCATTTTAATAAACACACATATGGAAAGCTCAGAAGTAAACCCTCACACACATGGTTAACATAAGTATCCATCAAAATGAATGCACACTGGAATATTATGCATTCATAAAAGAGAAGAAAATGTTGACATACGCTAGAACATGGATGAACCTTGAGAAGCTTATACTAAGTGAAATAAGCCAACCACACATAAAATAAGTTTCCACTTATACGAGGTACCCATAGTAATCAAATTCATAGACGGAAAGCAAAATGGTGGCTGCCAGGAGATCAAGAGAGAAAGAAGAGACAGCAATCGTTTAATAGGTATGGAAACAGTTTCACAAGATAGAAAGTTCGTTCTGTGGGTGGCTGTTGGCATTGGTAGCACAACAATGTGCATGTAATATTCAATGCCATTGACAACTACACTTAAAAAGGTTAAGATAGTAAATTTTAATAAAATATGGTAAAATTTATCATGATTGAAATAATTTCTTTTTTAATTAAACACAGAATTACCATATGAATCAGCAATCACATTCTAGGTATATACCCTCCAAAAAAATGAAAGCAGATATCGGAACAGATGCTGCACATACATGTTCATATCTGCATTATTCATAATAGCCAAAAAGTGGAAAAAATCCAAATGTCCATCAAGAGATGAATGGATAAACATACTATAGTATATAAACACCTAAAAGGCAGTATTACTCAGCCTTAAAAAGAAATGAAATTCTGACACCTGCTACAATATGAAGACTGAAGAAATTATGCTGAAGTGAAATAAGTCAGACACAAAAAGACAAATACTGTATCATTCCACTTACATGAGACATCTAGAATAATCAAGTTTATAGAAACAAAGTATAATAGTGGTTACCAGCGAGTACTGGAAACCAGGAACACCGAGTTACAACTCAAAGTATATAAAATTTCAGTTTGGGATGATGAAAAAGTTGAGATGAATGGTGGTTATAGTTGCACAACAGCATAAATGTATTTAATGCCACTGAATTATACAGCTAAAAATAACTAAGATACATATATGAAAACTGTCAACAGAATAAATCCTAAAAGTATTTTCACAAGAAAAAAACATTTTTAAAATTTTGTATATATGAGAGGATGGATGTTCACTAAACTCATCATGGTAATCACTTCTTGATGTATGTAAGCCAAATCATTGTTCTATGCACCTTAAATTTATACAGTTCTGTAGGTTAATTACATCTCAATAAAACTAGAAGAAAAAAGGAGAGAAAAATGATAAAAATAAAGGACTTTTTTTTTCTCCCCCCCAAAAAAAGTTGATAAACTTTATGTTATTAATGTATATATATTTTACCACCAAAAAAAACCCAGGTTAAAAAAAAGCAGATATGTTTAAGAAAAGGAAAACAAGACACAGATGTCAAACTCCTGCCTGATTCCACCACCCTTCCAGGAACCGCCCAATTTATTGTGACGCTTCTCGAAGGAGCCGAGCAGTCATGCTCTGGTTTCCCACCTCATTCGCTTCTGCTCTACCCCTCCATGGGAATGGTTCCAAAAAGGCCCATCCACCCTTCATCTTGATGCCTCTCAACGATAGACAACCACTCCACCTTTTTTCAGATGCATTAAAAAAAATATATTTTTTTGAGATTTCATTTCTTCTGTTGTTCTCTACCTTAATGACTGCTCTTTCAACTTCCTTAGCTAGATTCCCTAACAGGCCTTTAAATGTTTAAGTGCCCAGAACCAAAACTTCTCTTTTCCATTTAAACTCCCTTCATACTTGATCCCTGGTTTTAAACAACATCTGACACTGCTGACTCTCAACTGCTTATATATGCTTTACCCTCATATGCTTCAGATTTACGAAAGCATTCAACTGCCTGTGAGATATTTTACTAGATCTAGCAGACATCTCAAACCAAACATGTTTTTAAAAAAAATTCCTGACATGATGCCCCTATGTCCCACCATCCCCACACCTACTTCTTCCTATTTAACTTGCATCTCAATTAATGATACCAGCAGTCACTAAGTTGCTTAGACCAAACAGTTAAACACCATTCTTAGTTTTTCTCTTTTCCTAAACCCTTTCTTACCAGGTTTGTGGCAAAGAACTGAGCCCTCATGGTTTAAAATATCCACTGTATGTAACAGATGAACTTCTCTCCTGTGTATCTAGAGTGGTACTAGTTATGATGGGGCAGTTATAAAGGTGGAGACTGGAACCTCAGTAAAGAAAGGCTGCTAGACTCTGAGTAAGTCCAGTGCAGAAACTCCGGAATGTCAGTGTCTCATACAAGCTGTTGTTATAGGCTGTGAACTGGCCTCACAACCTCCACTCTCATCCTTTTCAGACCCTTCTCCACACAACAAAGCAATCTTTGTTTTACAAGTATATCAGATCATAAACTCCCCTCTGATTTTTATTGTCTAGAGACTTCCCGCCAAAATCAGAATAAAACTCAAACTGCTTACTGAGGTCTTATAAGACCCTATGTGATCTAACAGAGAAGGAAACGGCAACCCACTCCAGTATTCTTGCCTGGGAAATCCCACAGAGGAGCCTGGCGGGCTACAGTCCACGGGGTCGCAAAAGTGTCAAGACACAACTGAGCGACTGAGCCTGTGCCTGATCTAGATCCTCTCTCTCTGACGTACCTCCTGCTGCTCTCGCTTCTCCTCAGTTCACCATGTTCAGCCTTCAGACATGCAGAGTGAATCCTGTACACATGGCTTTGCATTTTCCGTCTGTTTACATGAGGAGCGCTCCCCCCAGACCTCCGCCAGGCTCCCACTCCTCCACCTTCAGATGTCAGCTCGACGCTCACCTCCTGAGGGGCTTGCTGACAGCCCTGACTGGACAGCCCACTCCTCACTCTGCCCACCCAGTCCTCTGCTGTGGGCTTCAAAGGACTTTTTATCTACTGAAACAATCTTTACCTGTCTACACATTTTAATGTCCAATTCCTATCACACAAGTAATGAATGCAGGATTCATGAGAGTAAAGTGTGTTCTTTACATCAGTTTTCATACATCGAACTTCAGCCATTTGAGTTTTGAGTCTTTTTAGCATCTTTAAATCAGAGGGAACTCGCCACATTGCCTGCTGCTTCCGTTGGTCTTTATCTTTTCGAGAATACGATGCTGCAGAGAGAAAGTAACAAGTCATGTTAACATAGACCTCAACATTCATGAAACCATTCTGTACTGTGAATATAGGCAAATTTGAGGTGCAAGTAACCTAAAGCTCTTTAGGTGGTACCAACAATAAAAGCATGCATTAAATTCAATTAATGAAAACAGATACAAGTATCCTAACTCTAGTCACACCTACAAAGTTAAAATCTGGGTCACATTTATTTGTTGTTCAGTCATTCAGTCTTGTCCAGCTCTTTGTGACCCCATGGACTGCAGTACGCCAGGCCTCCCTGGCCATCACCAACTCCCAGAGTTTACTCAAACTCATGTCCATTGAGTTGGTGATGCCATCCAACCATCTCATCCTCTGCTGTCCCCTTCTCCTCCCGCCTTCAATCTTTCCCAGCATCAGGGTCTTTTCCAGAGTCAGTTCTTCGCATCAGGTGGCCAAAGTATTGGGAGTTTCGGCTTCAGCATCAGTCCTTCCAATGAACACCCAGGACTGATCTCCTTTAGGATGGACTGGTTGGATCTCCTTGCAGTCCAAGGGACTCTCAAGAGTCTTCTCCAACACCACAGTTCAAAAGCATCAATTCTTCGGTGCTCAGCTTTCTTCACAGTCCAACTCTCACATCCATACATGACCACTGGAAAAACCATAGCCTTGACTAGATGGACCTTTG